TTTCATGTGGAAGAAACATTTAAACAATGGTTTTAAGTGTTGGTGTACAAACATTTTGTTATCTTTTGGGGCATAGTTCCACTTAATTATGGCCCAGCTCTGACTTGAATACATACTCTGCCTATAGAATATTCCAGATTCATTTCATTGCATTTCCACTTAAAGGTTATCAGACACCAAGTGTTAAGAAAGACTCTTTCCTGCCAAAGACCTGCTGCCAATCACAGTACATATTACTGACCTGGGTAGGTCATTGGTCTGATTCAGGTAATTTTACCTCAGATGTTCATCAATAGCAACAAATGACAATTGAAAAAATGGTCTGAAGTGGATTGTGACTACTACTTTATGAAGAACTGTGTCTGAGACAAAGACTTTCTTGCTGATAGCTGTGCTGCAAATCCAAAGTGTTCTCTGTGTTCTAACATGAATTGGATTCTTTAACATTAGTACTCAAATAGCTAGCGCTAACGTTATGTGAGAAAGCGCTTTCCTGCAACTACCACCTAAGTGACCTACACTCTGTCATGAATGCAGGAACTACTATGGAATTAGTGTAGCATGCAAAAGGACATCTAAAAGTTTTCACACAGGATGATAAAGCCAATAGAAAGCTCACACAGTAATGTGTTGGTCTTGCAGTAGGCATCCAGAGATGGTGAATTTGTGCCTGGAGTGGGGACCAGCCCATGGGGCACGGGAGAGAGAAGGATGACACGGAGACCCATGCTGGGAAGAATCGGCTGCAACTTTATTGATTACAGGTTTCTCAGGTCTTGGCATGGCATAGGCTGGGGACAATGACAGAAATCGCTATTCTTAGCCACTGCCACCATCCTTCCCGGGGACGTGGCCAATGTGTCAGCACCAAGGCTGGCTGTCCTGCCCCTTGCCCCCACAGATCCCCTTAAGGGGTCTCCCCTTTGTGTCATGTAGAGAGCCCACCCTGCACAACCTGCACTGTGTTCACCAGCCAGTACTTAAACACCAGCACCCAGTTGTGAGGGTTATTCTCTTTGAACAATGTAAACAAGCATACACGGTAAATTTGTTCTTTGCTATGGGGAAGGCAAGAACCCCAGGGCCTATCAGCCAATTTGCTCTGGATAAAATTCCTTTCCAGCCCTGTTAACCAGTGACCTACTGCAGTCATAGCAAAGGATAAGTAGTCATACAGTAAATGAAATCAACAAGCATGGGGTAGGATGGTGGGTCTTTGCCAAGAGAGAGTTGCTAAATGCGAAGCACCTCTTCAGCCTGCTGATTTTAGTCTGAGCTGCATAGCAGAGACAAGCCTGTGGGTCTGCCTGCCCCTCCCATGCCGAGATGGGCTGACCTCTGGGGCAGGCCATAGGAAGCTGCTTGAGAGCTGACTGGTTGACACCCGTTGACTAGGCCCAAATGCCCAAAGTTGTCCTTGTCCCCCCCACAGGCACAAATGATGCCCTAGCTCATGACTGGAGCTATACTTCCTAGAAGAACCATTTCCCAACCATCACACACTCTTGAGTTGCTGTGCTGCAAATCTGTGTTGTGCCATTGCAGTGAGCCCAAATAGACACACAGGATTTGCCTGCTGGCAAACATCAGAAGAGGGTAATTGAATGAACGTGTTGTCTCATGTGTTTGCTTAACGGTCTCTCAACTGCTTTCATCTTTTCCATGCTTCCCCCCCCAGCCGAAAGATAAATCATTTTTACATGAGCAATAAAGAACACTCCAAGGGGCATAATTAACATTTGCAGGGAGAACAGAACTACACAAAACATTCTGAGTGCAATTTCTATATATAGTTATCTTCAATGTATGGTACCAGATTGCTTAAATAAATCACAGCAATCCACTAAAGTTGATTCTGTACATCCACCTGCCTTTCCTATTGCCTGGCATGACTGTGAATGTTCCTAGTATTATAGGCTTGTCACTTAGATGTTCACCATCTGTTCAACCCATTGAATTATTTCTACTTTAGATTTTACATCTGCAGTGACAAATCTGGATAACAAACTCCATCAGCCACTTTCTGGCAGTCTCATTCCTATGCCTTCTGCCATGTTGTAACCATCACTTCAAATTTCTGCTTCTTATTATAATATTCCTGCTTATTTGCTCCGCAAAATTTCTGCAAACTAACCACCACTTCCCTGTGCCTGCATCTCCATGGTCTACAAAGACTTCTCTACCCTACTGCCACTACTCTGTTGTCAGTCCCTGGCTTCTTCTTTTACCTTTTCCCCTGCTCTATGGAAAACAATAGCCTATGCATACAGGAGTCCCACTTAGTCCAGATTTCCAGAAATAGACGCAGAGACCAGATCTTAATGAAATGGTTTCTTTACTAGGGAGTTTGCACACACATATAATAAAATCCAAGCATACGCACAACAATACAGAACTAAGAAAATTAGACAGAAAGGTATGGAGATGTTTGCATTAGCAGAAGAAATCCATTGGTTGGGCAATACTTACCTGTCTGACGAGATGAAGCGATCCTGCAGCAAAAAATGAAGGGAGACTAAAAGGGGAAAGGGCCGTATGTTGACCAGCAACACACATAGTAGACTCATGGCAGCGCTTAAACCGAGAGTCAGCAAGGTAGGGTGAGGTCAGGTAGAGAGGAAGTGTGAGAGAGAACAATGGGGAGTCTCTCTCTTTATACCCTGGCTTGACAAGGGGTGGGTGTCCCCAGTCACGTAGTCCCCAGGAAGTTTCAACACAAAAACTGGTTTCAGGAGGAAGGGGGCTTTATGGTTGGACAATGTTACTTCTATACATACTAACAGTGGCACCTTTGGGAGACACTGGCTGGAATGGCTAGGGTTGTTAGCATTGATAGTCCAACAATCGTCTGGGTGATGGGCTTGGCTGGTACGTGTCCGCTACCTAGTCATGGAAGCAGTTCTTTTGTTATGCTGGAAAGCATACATGCAGCATCTGGTGGAGGTGGGGGGTGGGGAGAAAGATGCCTCCGTGCTGAAGTTTGCTTATGGAGTCTCTGTAAAGATGTTCAGAACTCCTTTACAAAGCATGGTGTTTCTCTTCAGCAAACTGTCACTGGTTTCTGTGCACTTGTATGGCTAGGGAAATTGGCTCTCTTTCTACTGGAATGCAGGTGAGAGGTATAAGGCAATCCACAGATCCGTTTCTGGTCTGGTACACTGTCTCAGGAGGAGGCTTCCCTCAGCTGGGGAGTCCAGGCAGTTGGCATCGGTGCGTGGCCATCACACAGTCCACTTCCCTTTGTGCACTTATTGTACAGTCATGAATTATGGTTCATAAGTCCATAAGAGCGATGTAAGCTCCTTGCAGGGCAACACAGTTCCCATCATCATTCTGGCAGGGGGGTTTGGGGAGTGTTCCAAGCCCCACCCCCAAGAGAGACCACCTGCCCGGTCACATCTCTCCCTCTCCTCCTGCCTGATTTAAAGGGCTTCAGCTGATTGGAAGGGATCACGTGGCCTGCCGACAAGCTGGAGGGCCCTTTAAATCTAGCAAGAGGGAAGGAAAGAGCTGGTCATGGACCGCATGCTCAGCTCCCAAAAAGACCCTTTAAAGGGTCTTTTCGCAAGTGTGCGGCACACAGGGCTGGGGGAAAGCAGCTGCCTATGCTGTGGCCCCCACCCTGCTTGCAAAAAGACCCTCTAAAGGGTCTTTTTGCAAGCTGAGTGTGCAGCCTCTGGTCCTCGCCGATCAGCTGAATCCCTGTAAATCAGGCAGGAGGGGAGGGAGAGAAGTGGCTGGGCGGGTGTCGCTTGGGGGCAGGGCGTCCCCCACCAGCCAACTGGCCAGGGGCAGATTGAAGCTCCCAGAAGTGGGGGAAACCCCACCTGGACCTGGGGGCTGGCAACCCTAGAAAGGAGCCCACCAAGGAAGATTCTGCAGAGGAAGGCAATGGCAAACCCCTTCTGCTTCTCACTTGCCTTGAAAGCCCTTTGCTGGGATCGCCAGAAGTCGGTTGCAACTTGACAGCGCTTTATACGCATCAACATTACGCACACCAGTGTTATTGGACCAATGTATGCAGAGTGCCTTGAATGCTAGAAATCACTAAATGTTTATTAGTACCGTAACCTCTTGGAGCACCACATCACTCCTATACCATGTACAATAACCCACTGCTAGTGCTAAAGATATGCCTGCAACAACCTAATGCGTATAACTTCAGACTTCCACTGTCAATTATATAGTGGTGGGTTCCTCAATGGTGATGTGCTAAAGATATGCCTGCAACAACCTAATGGTGGGTTCCTCAATGGTGATATCCTGAGATAACTCCTATAAGCAGAACAAGAAACTCTTGGCTGTTTCAGCAACATTCCTTTAAAAGCTAATATGGCAAGTCTGCATTATGTATTATCTATAAGGTTGACATATCCTAGGCCCAGGACTATGCCACAGTGACTACTGCATTAGCGCTCCTAAAGTAGCAAGTGCAATCTCCAAGTCAGGATCTGGCAACTCTCATTTTCCCAAGGGAAATCCTTAGATTTCTCTTAATACGTGTTCTGTCAGGCTCAATTGAAGATTTGCATTGTAATCTCAAGCCCTGTGACATTTTAATAAAGAGCCCAAACTCTTTCAAACCCATTAACATTAAAAGCTCTGATATTTTGCATAATTAAAAAAAATCTTTATTGTGATTCCATCATTGTATTGTGCAAAAATACATTTTTATTCTTTCTGGTGTACTTATAAAAAGAGAAGATAAATAAATTTACAGTCCTGCGCACTTGTACTTCTTTTCAGTGATTTCACCTGGCACAAAAAATACCGACTGTGATGCGCAAAGAAGGGTATCATTGGTTTCTTAACATGTTCACTTTTGAAAGCAAATTGCAGAAATAGCTACTTGCTGTTAAATATCAGTATGCACTGTTTTATTTATATCACACCAGAATGCAATCATTTTCATTTATATATTCTGACATTTACTGGAGTAGATACATAGAAATGATCCAGTCATTTATTTTGATGCAGTTTTTAAGGCACATTCAGCAGGCATTTGGATTCCCATTTGGCTTTGGTCCAGCAAATCTTTAATTGCATTTCTGAGGTTGCTTATCCAGGTAAATGAGAATCTGAGGTCCCAACCACATCCTTTTCAGTCCCATAGACCTCAACGACATGTATCGTGCTGATAGCATGTATAGCAACATTGTTTCCTGGTACTAACTGTTTACCAAGGACACTGCTGGTTCTGGTTAATTTGCTGTGAAAATCATTATCTCTACTACAGCCAGTCTCTGTGATTTCTCCAGCCCATTCTTCATGGAAGCTATAAAACAAAACAAAACAAAAAAAGAGCTTTTATTAATTTAGTGAAACCATACCCCTTGATTTGCTTTTGCAACTGGATCCATTTCTCCAGCAATAAAGCAGTTTACAATAAACATCAGAGCAGTAAAAACTGTCAAAATTATAATATGCAATATCATTGCTATTATTGTACATAGCATTGATTTAGCATCTAACAATGCTCTAAGGGTTATAGAAGGGACAGGAGGTACAAGGATCCACTGTAAAAGAAACCGAATACAGTAAAAGAAAACGGATACTCAGATTAATTGTAGGGCTGTAGGGGCACTGAAAACAATCTATCATTTTTTACCATGCCTTTCCTACTAGGAGCTCATGGGGAATAGATGGATCTCCCCACCTCCATTTTATCTTCACAACAACCTTGAAAGAAAGAGAAAATGACTAGTCAAAGGCTTCCCAGTGACCAGAACTTGACTCTTACCAGCCTTAGAATATTGGACTAACTCCTATACCACACTGGCCCTCTAGAGGCACTGAACTAGACCACACCGAACTATTCTAGGGGGGGAAAAAATCGAGATTAATAGTGAAGTAGTGTTTAATTTTATATTCTAATAGCGAAGTTGGCCAATCTCTGGATACCAAGGCTCCCTTCTAAGCTGTGGAGTCCTGTGAGCAAAAATTCTACTCTGTGAGCTACTGGCATTAAAGTTGTGAGCGAGCGATTTGGCTACTGCATCGATCAGTTTGCTCTGGAGCCATTCTCCCTGAGCGAAGACAAAAACATGTGAGCCAGAGGTTAAAAAACGGTGAGCTGGCTCACACGAACCCAGCTTAGAGGGAACACTGCTCTGGAGCCCTCCTTCCTGAGCGAAGGCAAAAAATGTACAAGCCGGAGGCTAAAAATCTGTGAGCTCGCTCACACGAACTCAGTTTAGAGGGAACATTGCTGGATACTTCAATCCAGTGACTGGAGCTGTGGGCGGGCAAGACCAGTCTTTCTACAAACCTGAAAAGGACCCCAGGTTTGCAGAAAAATGTGAAATCTAAAAAAATATATACATTGGGTAGTATAAAAATGTGCAAATGATAAAAGGAGCACCGGTAGCTTTAAACAACCCACTTCCTAAGTGGCTTTTTCTGGGCAACCACAGTATTCCAGGCTTGGCTCTGTCAGTAAAAGACAGGGGGAGGGCAGGGCCTATTCTGGCCTTTCAGGGAGGAGTCACTGGGGCCAGGCCTGACTAGGGTTGCCAGCTCCAGGCTGGGAAATTTGTGGAGATTTTGTGGTGGATTCTGAGGAGGTCAGGGCTTAGGGAGCAGAGAGGCCTCTGCTGGATATAGTGCCACAGAGTCTACCATCCCAAGCAGCTATTTTCTCCAGGTGAACAGATCTCCGTCATCTTGAGTTCAGTTGTAATTCTGGGAGATCTCCAGGTCCCACCTAAAGGCTGGCAAACCTAAGCCTAGAAGCAACCTACCAAACTTGTTACCACCTGACTTGCATGGCTCAGTTAGGCCCGTCTGCTTGCTACTGTTCAACAGCATTCACCTTATGAAAACCAGTGTGGTATAGTAGTTAGAGCTTCAAAGTAGAGTCTGGGAGACCCAGGTTTGAACTCCCATCTTGCGGTGGAAGCTCACTGGGTGATTTGGGTCCAGTCACATACTTTCAGCCTAACCTACCTCACAGGGTTGTTGTGAGGAGAAAAAAGGAGGAGAGGAGAATAATGTCAGCAGCTTTGGTCCCCACTGGGGAGAATGGGGGGTTACAAATCAAGTAAATAAATAATAAATATACCTGAAGATGGGAGGCAGATAAAAGGTAGGTTGGTAAATGGCTGAGAAAGAGAGAATGAGTCAGGGAATGGAGAGAGGATATAGGGGTTGGCAGGAGGATGGAAAGAGGAAATACTGCAGGACAGGGATACAGGGGAAAGTAAGCTGGCTCTCCATGAGTCCTTGAGGGTTCCCCACCATGCAAGTGGGCCTGGTCAAGTGGCCAGCACCGCACAACGAGGCCATAGTTTTCCTAGGCAGAGGCTGCTGGAGGGGAGAAGGAAACCTGAAGACAAAGGGGCAGATATATGTAGGCTGTCTGGGAAATAGGAAATAGTGGACGAAAGGAAAATGAGATGCCTCCCGCAAGTCAGCTAATGCTGACTTTCCGGGGGGGGGGGCATTAGTGACCTATATAATAAGCGTACAAATTGAATTCCCACATAAACACAGAAAGAATAATCATTGACATTTTGACATTTCATGGGAGTTTATCTGGTGGTTGGATGAATGAGATAGTCTAGTGTTTTCCAAAGGCATTTGCTTACAGCTTACTTAGGCTTACGCATGATATTCCTAAGTGCATTGGAGCCTGATTTGGCTTGGGACCATTCTGTCAGAGAGAAGGGGCTTCTGCCCCCTGCACCATTTTCCTGAGGTAAAATGGCCCCAGCTGGTGGGCCCTCTTTGATCAGCTGTAAACTGAATCCCGCATGAACCCTGACACAACTCCTGCCAAATGTCGCTTCTAGTTCAGCTGTGAGATGTTGGCTTTGGCTTCTGAAACTGAATAGCTTGGGAAGAGTATATCACAGCAGTGGCATTTCTTTATTTATTAAAAAATTAACCTTCAGTCAGTCAGCAAAAGAGCTCTTGAAGAAGCTTCCGAAAGGTATGCAAATTAAAGCAAATCACAGAAAAGCAAATGAAACAGCTGTAGGATACTGGAGAATAAAACATAGCAGCCTTAGAATCCCACTGACATTAACATACAGCAGTAAAAGCAAAACCAGCCTTAGCAGTAAAACAAACTGAGATATTTTCCATAGGGACTGTTCTCCCCGCACCTGCGCTTGTATTCCATCGCTGCTTTCCCTTGTTTCTGCAGATGTTTCTGCAGTCTCAGGAGCAAAAACGCAGTTTGTCCCCTATTGCTCCACAACATCAGACTTCCCTGTTAGCAGGAATTCCCATGCTGCACCACAAGAGGGGGAAAACTGTGTTTTTGCTTCTGGAACTGCAAAAACATCTGTGGAAATGAGGGAAGCCAGAGGCGGAATACAAGTGCAGGTGGTGCAGGGAGAACTGTCCCTGTGGAAAATGTCAGAACCCGTATAATAATTAAAAACAGAAGAATAACAAAATGCTAGTAAGAAAAAGATCAACCAAAAATTAGGAAAGAGAGATGCAGACAATGTGCCAGGCAGATCTCTAGAGAGAAAGAATTCCAGAAACATGGCACCTCCATACAGAAGGACAGCCACTTAACTTTTGAAGCTAGAGACCAGTGTAGGACCTCTCCAGAATTGAGGGCAGCCTCATTTAAAATGACATAAGCACTCCATAAGGGGGGCCCATATGTCCCTGATCCAAATCAAATATCATAGCAAAACAAATAATTTGGCTCCCTCGTACCACCTGCAGCTCCCCTCTGCTCTCTCTGGGCCTTCGGCGCACGCACACACACACACACACACACACACACACACACACACTCCGGCCTGGGCTGGGCCGGAGGGAGGCAGCCATGTGCAAATGAAATGTATGTAAAAATAATAATAATAATAAAGTATAATAATAAAACACCTGCCCGTCCATTTGTGGCAGGCATGACTCAGAAAATAAAATCTGAAATCTCAAAATTGGCCACCAGCTTCAGGATGATCATGGGAGTTCCAGGGCCAAAAATGAAAGGAATCGGAATATTCTGGCCCAGGCTATTTCCAGACACCCTCCCACCCCCAATACTCTTTGCAATGGAGGCTAAGCTTGTTTAGTGGTTAAAGTGTCAGACTAGGATCTGGGACAGCCAGGTTCAAATCCCTGCTCTGCCATGGAAGCTTGCTGGGTGACCTTGGGCCCATCCCACACTAGGTCTAACCTAATTCACAGGGTTGTTGTGAGGATAAAACAGAGATGAGGAGAACAATGGCCCCGTTCATACGAGGCAGTTTGGGCCGGGAGCGGGCCAGATCGGAAGCGCGGCAAACGGGAGCGATCCGACGTCAACATCTGCCTGGCGTCGCGCTCCCGCCTCCGATCCGGCCCTTAGGTGGTTCATCCGTTTGGGCCGCATCTTCCTGGCCGTGGGATCGGTGGCGCGTCTTGCCGCCGCCGCATCCCCGGCCCCCGGTCGAACTGCGCATGCTCGAGCATGTGCAGTTCGGCAGCCTCCCCCTCCCACTCACCTCTTTCTCCCCGGCATCTGATTGTGCCGGGGAGCAACGGTGCACCGCTAACGGGGTCCGTGGGATCCCGCCGAGGCGTTTCTTTTTTGGCGCGGCTTTTAAAAGCCGCGCTTCTCCTCGTTTTTTCCCTGCCGTGTGGCAGGGGCCAATGTAAACTGCTTTGGTTCTCCCTTTGGGAGAAAGGTGGGATATACAGTAAATAAGTTCTGATTTCGGTTCCTCATTTGTTACCACTGAGGCAGATTAATAAGGTTGCCACCTTCAGGTTGGGAAATATTTGGAGATTTTCATGGTGGACACGGCAGGGTTTGGGGACGGGAGGGACTTCAGTGTCATAGAACCCACCTTCCAAAGTGGCCATTTTCTCCACTGCCACCTACATCTGCCACCTAGAGATCAGTGGCAGGAGATCTCCAGCCACTACCTGGAGGTTGGCAACCCTACAGATTAACATTTATTAACATGCATGTTAAAAGTGGAAGGGGAAAAGACGCCTTTTACCACTTTTATGGATTATGGAGAAATATTAACTCCCATAGGTTTGCTCCTATGCTACTATTAAATACATTCTAAATTGCTAAATGGGATGAGTGAGGAGAAGTTGAGATTGCAAAATAAGGTGGGGGAGAGAGAGAGAAATTAAAAGTGGGGATTGGTGAATGGCAGATCATGACAGGAAGAAAGCAAAATGAAGGTGGAGAAAAAGGGGGGAAAGCGTGAGAGAAATGTAGGAAAAGACAACAAAAGGGTTGGGGGGACATGGTTTGCTACTGCACTCTAACAAGGCTGCAACTTTGCAAGATCTGGCTGTGCAGGAGCTGGGCGGAAC